GAGAGAATGCGAGCGATAACACCACATTTAACACACCTGCTCCCCATTCACACCTGAGACCTTGTAACACAAATGAGTCACATGACACTGGGAGGGAAAATGGCTAATTGGGCCCAATTTGGACATTTTCACTTAGGGGTGTACTCACTTTTGCTACCAGCGGTTTAGACATTAATGGCTGTGTGTTGAGTTATTTTGAGGGGACAGTAAATTTACACTGTTATATAAGCTGTACACTCATTACTTTACATTGTAGCAAAGTGTCATTTCTTCAGTGTTGTCACATGAAAAGATATGATATAATAATATTTACAAAAATGTGAGGGGTGTACTCACTTCTGGGAGATACTGTATATTGTACATTCACATCAGTCCCTAACCCTCAAGGGACATACAATCTAAGGTCCCTAACTTACATTCATACATACACATACTAGGGCCAATTTAGACAGGATCCAATTAAACTACCAGCATGTCTTTGGAGTGTGGGAGGAAACCCACGCAGGCACAGGGAGAACATGCAAACTCCAGGCAGGTGGTGCCGTGGTTGGGATTCAAACCAATGACCCTAGTACTGCTAGGTGGAAGTGCTAACCATTTATCCACTGTGCTATTTAATGGTCATGCACCTGGAAGTGGGTGGGAGGTAGGAGGGTAGATGATGCAGGTGTGTGTGATAATGAGGTCAGCTGGTCAATTCTTTCCTGTGTCATGACCTAAAGTCTCTGCAGGAAATAAGGCAGAAGCTTTTTATAGTTACCTGGACAGTGACATAGAGGCATGTAGAAGAAATGGAAAGCTTTTGAATTTCTGCAAAAGAAGTACATTAATGCTATATAGGTACATAGGGGAGCTGAAATTTAGAAGAAAAAGGTGAACAAAAGTGAACATATCCTTTAAGAAACCTCAAACCTGAATATTTAAGAAAGTAAAAGTGAGGTTTTGGCTTTCTTAGGAGAATATCTACACTATATTGCCGAAAGTATTGGGACACCCCTCCAAATCATTGGATTCAGGTGTTCCAATCACCTCCATGGCCACAGGTGTATAAAATCAAGCACCTAGGCATGCAGACTGCTTCTACAAACATTTGTGAAAGAATGGGTCATCTCAGGAGCTCAGTGAATTCAAGCGTGGTACCGTGATAGGTTGCCACCTGTGCAATAAATCCATCTGTGAAATTTCCTTGCTACTAAATATTCCACAGTCAACTGTTAGTGGTATTATAACAAAGTGGAAGAAACTGGGAACAACAGCAACTCAGCCATGAAGTGTAGGCCAGGTAAAATGACAGAGCGGGATCGGCTCATGCTGAAGCGCACAGTGCACAGAAGTCACCAACTATCTGAAGAGTCAATAGCTAAAGCAATGCAAAGCATCAGATGCAGTGATGTAAAGCACGCGGTCACTGTACTCTAGAGCAGTGGGGATGTGTTCTCTGGAGTGACCAATCATGCTTCTCTGTCTGGCAATCCGATGAACGTGTCAGGGTTTGGTGGTTGCCAGAACGGTACTTGCTGGACTGCACTGTACCAAGTGTAAAGTTTGGTGGAGGGGGGAATATGGTGTGGGATTGTCTTTCAGGGTTTGGGCTTGGCCCCCTAGTTCCAGAGAAGGGAATTCTTAAGGTGTCAGCACACCCAAGACATTTTGGACAATTTCATGCTCCCAACTTTGTGGGAACAGTTTGGGCAAGGTCCATAAAGACATGGATGAGCAAGTTTGGGGTGGAGGAACTTGACTGGCCTGACCCAACCCGATAGAACACCTTAGGGATGAACTAGAGTGGAGACTGCGAGCCAGGCCTTCTCATCCAACATCAATGTCTGACATCACAAATGTGCTTCTGGAGAATGGTCAAACATTCCCATAGACACACTCCTAAACCTTGTGGACAGCCTTCCCAGAAGAGTTCAAACTGTTATAGCTAGCAAAGGGTGGGCCAACTCAATATTAAACACTACAGACTTAGACTGGGATGTCATTAAAGTTTGTGTGCTTGCAAAGGCAGGCGTCCCAATACTTTTGGCAATATAGTGCATCTATAGTGGGAAGCTAGTACTGTATCTGCTGGAAATGGAGGTGTTTACGTACCTGTTCATAGTATGCATAAAATGCAGAGGACAGTGTGGACTGTTCTGCCTAATGATCTTAGGTTCCATACACTTTTCCCTGGGCACATGCTGCCCTAAACGTTATCGCCAATTGGTCCACCATCCAACTGCAGCAGATTTCAGCCTCTCGTAGACTTTCAGCGGCTTCTGGCAGCGGGGCTGAATGGTGTACCTGTGTCTTCTATCCTCATGCTGAATCTTATGTGTCAGCCAAATGTGCATGAGAACTAAGTCCTCAAGTGGCTGCAAGTTACCTTCTAAGTGGGCAGTAAAAGTGCAGCTCAACCACTTTTTTTTTTTTTTTACTGTGTGAACATAAGCTATGAGTTTTAATCATCAAGCTGCTACAAAGAATATAGATTTTTTTACACTGAACCAGGGTGAGGAAAAACCACATCCCTCAGGACCCAAAGTATCTGAATGAGAAACCGTTGTTGTTGCGCATGTCAACAAATCTTATTGTCCCTCTCATTGTTCCAAAATGCATTAGACAGCCTCTATCTGGTTGCTTTGGGCAAAAGGAACGGTGTTTACTACAGACACAAAAAAAAACCCCAAAGAAACAAAAAATAAAACACAAATACTCAAATACATATAGAAAAACAACAGGTTTATTAAGGCAAATGGCAATGTGCAAAATTCAATGAGCCATAACAATCATCAAATGTATTTTTTGAGTAATAGAAAAGGATGAAAGAATGAAAGATGAAATATGATTAATTCACATGGCCTACTGGTCCTTAAAGAGATGGCCATCTCCCAGACCATGCAGGGTAAGAAGATAGGCGCTAAAATCCATAACAGCTCACCAATTAAAGCAAACGAAGTGCACATTTTGAGACTACCTTGCCATGAAGTGGTCATGCGGTATATGTCATAGGACCATGAGTCTTTATGATTCGCGATAGGTTAAGAATCCTGTTAATTTTCAGCTGAGAATGTAAGGTACATACTTTCCATAAAATATGCCAGGGGCAATGTTCACTTCACCCTCAGCCTCATACCAGGATTACCGAATGGTGCAGTACATGCCTGTAGATCACTGATACAGAGCGGGAGATAGTATAATTTTCCTTTGTGTCTTAGGTCCCTTTCACAAGGGCGATTCAATCAGGTCCACCTGTCAGTTTTTCAGGTGGACCTGATCAGATGGTCCATGTATACCTATAAATCAGCGGGTGTAAGTGGACTTTTGTTGTTTACACCTGCCTACCTCCAATCTGATCTGTTTAAAAACAATAAAAGTGGCAGGGGATCCTTAAAGGCCCCATCCCTCCCATACCCCCCTCACCAGCTCCTGCCTCTGTCCCAGCTGGCACTAAAATCACTGACTGCGACTACGGGGCACAGAAACATCACTTCCTCCTTCATGCCGCAGTGCTTGGGCTTTGGAATTGGCTGCTAGACCCAAACATTATCACATGAAAATGAGATCACATACTCCCCGATACCTGGAAGCTTACTGCAACCGGCTGTGATAAAGGCAGGAGCGATGAATATAACTGCTAAACTTTACAAAGACACTGGCACTTTGCCCTTCACGGAACTGCATTATGCAAAAATGAGGCATAAAGAGTCTATATAGCAATGTGTTCAAAATCTTTATGATACATCTATTTTTGTGAATTTACCTTTCTTATCAATGGCCCTACTAAACGTGCGAAAATGTAGTGTGTCCCATATTTTAAAAACACACTAGGCTGCTCTACAATAGCCACATAAGAATGATTGAATTCCTACTAGAAAAACATTTTTGTATGCAGTAAAATACATGTGTTTTATTGCAGGGAAATAGACAAGTGTGAACAGACCTTGAACAAGCTAAAAAAATCATAACGTTAAACAGCTGGAGTAAGAAACTGTCATTCCCAACATATATAGGCTGGTTAATATGTAATTATTGTGCGTATACTGTTGCAGGAATTGATAAGCAAAAGGAAAAATTATATTCAATAAAAGGCACAAATAAACACTAATTTTTTAAGCACAAAAATATCTAAGGGTTCATTTACACTTGCATAACCCTCTGAAAAGCCATCCATGGAAGATCCTTTTCAGAGGGCATCTGACTTTTCCTTGTTTCCTATTTTAACCCTGTAGTCCATACCACTGCAGAGCAACCACATGTATTGTATGCATTTACAGTGCGGCCCTAATCCCCACCAAGTGATGGGCTGTGGATGTGAAGCAAAATATCACAGCCATGACATGTGCACAACATTACCTGGGTTAGATTTTGGGTCCATTCACACCAGATGAGCTGGCATGTGTGGATCAATGCATGCGAGTGGAGTGCATATACATTTTAAAATAAATGTATTGCTAAAGGAGCAGTTCACACAAGTGCATTGCACAGATGCATGCTGCCCTGCACTGAAAAAAAAAAAAAAAAAAAAAAGTAGAATGCGTCCCTTTTTTTAGCGCAATGCATGCAAACTTGTGCATTACAACATTCATAAAATGCAAGAGTCAAAACAAATAATTGACGTTTCCATCACAAATAAAGCTTTATTAAGTTTAAAGAAAAAAAAAAAAAAAAAAGTATTGTTGCAAGTTTTAAAACACAACACAGAATGCAAATGCATATCAATGCATGCACTTTTACATGTGCCTAACTCACACTTTGCAGGGTCCATGACCCCTTGGGGGAGGGCCCACGCTCACTGCTTTTTTTTTTCTCTTACTGCCCTGATCGCAAGTGTAAAGGAGGCCAGAATGTGCATATTATCAGGAGTATTATTAAAATTATACTCTGCCTTGATAATAGAAGCATTTATTTATGACTATTTCAGAACAAAAAGATTTGATTTGGATGTGAACCCTACCAGCATAAAAAAGAAGCAGTCATGTTCACCCTGTACCCAGAATCTAGATTTGATCTTCCCACTACAATGTGAGGTGATAGAGATCTCTTCCAAGCTTTTCTAGTCTATCCCTGTATTCCAAATTCTTGTAGTTGGCCATGGGGACCTCCTTGTATCCATACATAGCACCCCACCAGGCACCAGCAATGGCAGCTGTAGAATCACTATCCCCACCATGAAAAAAAGCCCGATGAGAAAGCTCTGTCCAGTTGTCTCCAGAACCAAGGATGGCATCGTATGCAATCATGGGGGCATCATGACCAGAGCTTCCAGCCCACCCTTTAAAGCTCTGTGAAGTATAAAATACATCTCGTTCTTTTACATCGTACTTCTCTGGGAATGTTGGCTGAGATGTTCCATCCGATATGCCCCTTTTTGTAAGATATGTCTGCCAACGACTTTCAAAATAGGACCTGTTAATATAAAAGATTAAAAGAATCAAACTATTATACATGACATGTGTTCTTTACTTTTATTAGAATGTATGTGTTACATGGGCATGTGCAATATTTGTGCAGCACATAATAAGTTGTGCAAAAAGGTGCTACAATGGTCACAGTACCAAGGGGAGCACGGCATCCTACAATGTAAACCTCTGTGTCCAAATAAATAAAAGGAAATGCAGTTTTGGGGGAAATCATTAATTCCACCAAATAACAAAGTTTTCACCTACACACAAATTAAAGTAAAACTAAAGCCAAAACATAACAATGGATAGAGCAAGGAATGAATAAAACCTCTCTCACATTTTTTTGTCAGTTTTTTTTTTTTATATCTTTCCTAAAGCGGAACTTTACCCGAAACATTTTGATAACAATTAATGTACTTTAACAAAAGAACATACATTCCGCCTTGCTAATTATACTACCAAAATTATGGGATTTCTCCCCTTTGCATTGGTCTCAAAAACTATATGTCATTTTCTTCACTTAAAATGTGTACATTTTCAGCCTTGATTATGTTTTGCCGAACGTGGACAAGAAAGCTGGTAGAGGCTTTAGTCCTCATGCACACTAGGATGCTTTTACAGCGGCTGTTTTTGGCTTTTGGCATTTTTTTCTACAGCCAATAAACTCCCCAGCATGTTATCCTATGTGTCCATGCACACAGACTGTAATCAACGTTTTTTGGCAGGAGCGTTTTTTGGCTGGAAAAACCCCCCAGAACTTGTCAGTTTCTAGAGGAGTTTTTTAGCTGTAAAAACACTCTAACACTGAAAAACGCGGCAAAACGCAGTAAACCAGTGTTTTTGGACTTTTTTTAGTAAAAAAAAATGCGCTAAAAACGCAAACGCAAAAAAAAGCAGAAAAACGCGGCAAAACGCCACTAAATGCTAATGCAAAAACGCTAAAAAACACTGAAAAAAGACCTGGAGGCAACCATGGGAGGAGGTGACTAGGGAGATAGAGAGCAGGAGGTCTTAGGAGGAAAGAAGAGAACAATTTGGTTGGTATTTTGAGACTACATTAGTAATGTAGCTGGGAGCTGAGTCATGGATGGCTTTGTGAGTTGTCGTTAGTATTTTGAATTTAATTTGTTGAGTGAGTGGCAAACCAATGGAGGGATTGGCAGAGAGGGGTAGCAGACACTGAGTGGCTGTAAGATGGATGGGTCTGGAAGCAGCACTCATTATGGACTAAGGTGGATGAGCCTGGAAGCAGCATTCATTATGGATTAAAGAGAGCATAGCTATGTAAGGGTAAGCCAATGTGGACAGATTTGCAGTAGTTGAGGTGAGAGATAACCAGGGAGTGAATTAGCAGCTTTGTGGTGCAGTTAGTTAGAAAGGAGCATCTTTAGTAATCTAGCTGGATCAAATCTCGGATGATTCAGCAAACGCAGGCTGAAATTGATCCATCCATTGGCAGGCTGGTTGTACTGAAGTTGATCCATCAATGGAATACAGTACAACCAGCATGTGTTTTTTTTACATGCGATTACTGCCAGCAACTATTGATGTCAGCAGTAATCATTGTGTTCTGCCGGCAGGGAAGGCTCCTTGCCAGCAGAACACAATAGCACTGTGGGAGGGATTTCTCTGGTTGCAGGAAAGAAAATTGCAACGTCTATTGCTTGCTTTACTCTTTTGTGTTTCCCTGGTAGCAGAGTTTGTCTTGTTGCCTCTTCTACTTTTCATTTCTCCCTCCCAAATATGTGTTTCCTGTATATAGTCTGTGTCATTCCTGATCCTTCAGCAACAGTAAATCTTAAAGCTGCCAGCTGAACGGCCTCTAGTAGCTCTGATTTTAGGCACAGTGCTGAGAATAGAAATCCAATGAGCATGTGCAGAGAAGGGTGAGACTGTACATTACTGGATTTTAAACAGTATTGGCGCTTATTTTTAATTTGCTATACCTGTAAAAGGGGGCCAGCCTGAAGTTATCTATCAGGACTTATTTTTTTTTTACTAAAGTTCCACTTTAAGTCCTCTTAGACAGCTGTCACTACAAGTGTCCCCATTGAAAACTATTCTCCATTTCTGTTCCAGTGGCAACTTAAATGTTTGTTTTATCTCCTCACTTCCAGTCTCAGTGACAGTGGTCATAAGGACAAATAGAATGTGAGCATCAAAAACTTGATCACTGTCCGAAAAAAAAAAAAAGAAAAAAAAAAAGTTTTGGCTTTGGATGCACACTAAGCATATAGTCATTTTAATGGCATTGATTCATTAAAGCAGAACTAAACCCTCTTATTCTTTACAGTCAAGGGAACAGTACATGTGATCAGTTATGACACCAGACAGTAAATAGATGGCTTGACAGTTCAGTTGAAACACTTGTGACAGTTTTCATTCATGGAAAGCCTTGAATGTAACGGTTTGGGGAAACAGTTAAATCAATGTTTTGTTTTTAATTCCAAACAACTTTTATTGCAAAGACCATAAAAAAAATGAAACAGTACTTACAGAATCCACAATGACATTACTGCATCAACAGAATTACACATACCGTATTTGCCGGCGTATAAGACGACTTTTCAACCCGTGAAAATCTTTTGAAAAGTCGGGGGTCGTCTTATACGCCGGTATACGGCGAGCCGGTGTCAGGGCGGCACTTTTTCGAGGGGCGGCGCCGCCCCCCCTCCTCCTCCAACGGACACCAAGTACAGGGGTAGGCAGAGGGGCTGCTGTACCTTACCTGGCTCCGGTCCCGGTCCCACGACGATCCGGACCAGGAAGCGCGGCTGCTCCTTCTTTCAGTTCGGCCGCTCGATGGTCCCGCCGCCCGCTGTGCTCCGCCTCCTCACCGGTGATTGGGCGCCAGCACTGGAAAGGCACACAGGCGACCAATCACCGGCGAGGAGGCGACCAATCACCCGCGAAAATCAAGCGGCCGAACTAAAAGAAGGAGCAGCCGCTCCTCTCCCCCACTGACACTAACGATGGGGCACTATTCCTCCTCCACACTGACACCAACGATGAGGCACTGTTCCTCCCCCACAGACACCAATGATGGGGCACTACTCCTCCTCCCCACTGACACCAATGATGGGGCACTATTCCTCCCCCACTGATACCAACGATGGGGCACTATTTCTTCTTCCACTGATACCAATGATGGGGCACTATTCCTCCCCCACTGACACCAACGATGGGGCACTATTCCTCCTCCCCACTGACACCAATGATGGGGCACTATTCCTCCCCCACTGACACCAATGATGGGGCACTTTCCTCCTCCCCACTGATACCAATGATGGGGCACTATTCCTCCCCCACTGACACCAACGATGGGGCACTATTCCTCCTCCCACTGACACCAACGATGGGGCACTATTCCTCCCCCACTGACACCAATGATGGGGCACTTTTCTCCCCACTGATACCAATGATGGGGCACTATTCCTCCCCCACTGACACCAACCATGGGGCACTATTCCTCCTCCCCACTGACACCAACGATGGGGCACTATTCCTCTTCCCCACTGACACCAATGATGGGGCACTATTCCTCCCCCACTGACACCAATGATGCGGCACTTTTCTCCCCACTGACACCAATGATGGGGCACTATTATCCCCACTGACACCAACCATGGGGCACTATTCCTCCCTCACTGACACCAACCATGGGGCACTATTCCTCCTTCCCACTGACACCAACGATGGGGCACTATTCCTCCTCCCCACTGACACCAATGATGGGGCACTATTCCTTCCACTGATACCAATGATGGGCGCTATTCCTCCCACTGACACCAATGATGGGGTACTATTCCTCCCACTGACACGAATGATGGAGCACTATTCCTCCCACTGACACTAATAATGGGACACTATTCCTCCCACTGACACCAATGATGGGGCACGATTCTTCCCACTGACACCAATGATGGGGCACGATTCCTCCCACTGACACCAATGATGGGGCACTATTCCTCCCACTGACACTAATGATGGGACACTATTCCTCACACACTGACACTACTGACACCAATGATGGGGCACCATCATTGGTGTCAGTGGGAGGAATAGTGTCCCATCATTGGTATCAGTGGGAGGAATAGCGCCCCATCATTGGTATCAGTGGGAGGAATAGTGCCCCATCATTGGTATCAGTGGGAGGAATAGTGCCCCATCATTGGTATCAGTGGGAGGAATAGTGCCCCATCATTGGTATCAGTGGGAGGAATAGTGCCCCATCATTGGTATCAGTGGGAGGAATAGTGCCCCATCATTGGTGTCAGTGGATGAAATAGTGCCCCATCATTAGTGTCAGTGGGAGGAGTAGTGCCTCATCATTGGTATCAGTGGGATGAATAGTGCCCCATCATTGGTGTCAGTGGGAGGAATAGCACCCCATCATTGGAATACCATACTGAAATACCATACCATATTGAAATCAAATCTGATGTTTTTTCATTTTTATTTGGTGTGTGTTGGAAGAGGGGTAGTCTTATACGGCGAGTATAGCTCAAACCCTATATTTTAACAGGAAAAGTAGGGGGTCGTCTTATACGCCCAGTCGTCTTATACGCCGGCAAATACGGTAGATAGAACAATGAGAATACACAGATCCAGTAATGAACAGAATAACAGAAATAGTAATCAATGAAAACAGAGACCACAAGTATTCACGGCCTTCTTGACAATACCTTACTTTTTCCTTTTTACCTTTTATTCCTTCCCGTCCAGATGTAAACATAAATGGGGTAAAAGAACAAAGCCAAAAACATGCCTTCAAACAATAAAAAACAACAACAACATCTGGTTCACTCGAGACATCTCATCAGAGAAAATGGGGGATGCACATGATCTCCCCTAAGGGGAGAAGTGGAGCCGCACACCTGATATAAAATGTCACACCTGCAAAAGTCGATCCACTATCAATTGAGGAGGTGCAAGCCCAGGTGTATCCAGCCAACCCTGCCATACCTGCTGGAACTTACGATAAGCATTGCGATGTTGGTACAT